GTCTAACTTAGATTTTGGTATATTACAGTTGTATTTCACTTAAAAATTCACGGAGATATTAATGTTCAAAATCGGGAGCATATTTTTGGATGTGTCTGAAATATGCAAAAAACGGCGTATCAAATATTAATCAAAATTTGCCCGATTGAAACATGCACTTTTACCATTAAATGAATGACACTTGACAAATTGTATATTATGAAACAAAGTATTATTATCTACAAAATACAAGCAAGATTTATTCGTCCGAAATCCGCGTGTGTTCCTTAGACGAATACGTTTCCTTATTTCATGAGACCACTGCATCGCGAATTAAGGATCGTCATGGATATCGTTCGTAGTTCTGAATTAGGGCATGCTGTTACAATGGAATTGTGAAGCTCTTCTAACTTCTGCAAAGTTCAGAAATCTTGTTAAGAACACTCAAACTCTTTTGCTTTTTCTTAATCTTATTAAGTTCAGAATAAACTGAGAATGAAACACAATCTAACCATACAACTTCATAAGACATAACAAGCAACTCCCCAGAGACATCCAACATTTTTGGAACAAAACGTAACAAAATAGTAGCGTTGATACTGTGATGTGTATTTGCAAAAAGCAATATTATTTGCTTCATTAAAGAAATCCTGCTCTAACCGAGAAATAATCAACTCTGTTTTGAACCCATGAAAAACATTTAAAAATTAGGCTATTTAACAAAAATTTAAGCGCCTGCCTTGCATATATGGTTTTTCATGTACCTTTTAGTTTGTAAAGACCTATTAAATACTTGCATAATTTCGAACGTTCAATATTTCAGGAAACAATCAGCTAAGACTTACATGCATGTTAAAATGTCTAAATCTGCGCCATATCCCTTACAAACCCTAACGACAATTTACTGAAATACAAGTTAGCCTGATATGTCATTAAACAAACAAACACTGGAGTTAATATTTGATATGCCGATTTTCGCTGATTTTAGACACATCCCAAAATATGCTCCCAATTTTGAACATTAATATCTCAGTGAATGTTTAAGTAAAATACAACTGTAATATATCAAAATCTAAGTTAGTCCTTCCTCTATTTAATGCAAGTTATTTCTGTTTGATAGCTGTACTTGTTTAGAAGTTATTATAAATCAAACCGGAGTACTTTTTTTTGGGACACCCGGTATATATATATATATATATATATATATATATATATATATATATATATATATATATATATATTGTATAAATATTTTTCGGATGAAAAGCTCACTATCAGCTACACTGCGCTGACGAGCCCCATAAGGGCGAAACAGCTGTCCGCAGTTGCTGGTAGTGAGCTTGGGGCACAATTGTCATTGCCTATATGCCTTTGCGCTGATTTAAATCTGTGACATGCAGAGATCATGCGTATTAGGTCGAATGGCGTTCTTGTCGTATATATAATTCATGCGTCCCACATCCATCGTCTCATTGTTGGTTGTATAAATACTTTTCGGATGAAAAGCTCACTATCAGCTTCACTGCGCTGACGAGCCCCAAAAGGGCGAAACAGCTGTCCGCAGTTGCTGGTAGTGAGCTTGGGGCACAATTGCCTATAGGCCTTTGCGCTGATTTAAATCTGTGACATGCAGAGATCATGCGTATTAGGTTGAATGGCGTTCTTGTCGTATATATAATCCATGCGTCCCACATCCATCGTCTCATTGTTGGTTGTATAAATACTTTTCGGATGAAAAGCTCACTATCAGCTACACTGCGCTGACGAGCCCCAAAAGGGCGAAACAGCTGTCCGCAGTTGCTGGTAGTGAGCTTCGGGCATATATATATATATATATATATATATATATATATATATATATATATATATATATATATATATATATATATATATATATATATAAAAGTACTCCTGTTTGATTTGTAATAACTTTTAAACAAGTAAAGCTATCAAACAGAAATAAATTGCATTAAATAGAGGAAGGACTAACTTAGATTTTGATATGTTACAGTTGTATTTTACTTAAGAATTCACGGAGATATTAATGTTCAAAATCGGGAGCACATTTTGGGATGTGTCTAAAATTAGCGAAAATCGGCCTATCAAATATTAACTCCAGCGTTTGTTTGCTTAATGACATATCAGGCCAACTTGTATTTCAGCGAATTGTCGTTAGGGTTTGTAAGAGATATGGCGTAGATTTAGACATCTTACATGTATGTCTTAACTCATTGTTTCCTGAAATATGAACTTTCAAAATTATGCAAGTATTTAATAGGTCTTTGCAAACTTAAAGGTACATGAAAGACCATGCAAGGCAGGCGCTTAAATTTTTCTTAAATAGCCTAATTTTTTTATGTTTTTCATGGGTTCAAAACAGAGTTGATTATTTCTCGGTTAGAGCAGGATGAATATTATTCTTTAATGAAGGAAATAATATTGCTTTTTGCAAATACACATCACAGTATCAACGCTACTATTTTGTTACGTTTTGTTCCAAAAATGTTGGACGTCTCTGGGGAGTTGCTTGTTATGTCTTTACTTATGGAGTTGTATGCCTAGTTTGATTTTGTTTCATTCTCAGTTTATTCTGAACTTGCCAAGATTAAGAAAGGCAAAAGAGTTTGGGTGTTCTTAACAAGATTTCAGAACGTTGCAGAAGTTAGAAAATTCATTCAATGTGAAGTTAGAAAATTCACAATTCCATTGTGACAGCTAGCATGCCCTAATTCAGAACTACGAACGAACGATCCATGATGATCCTTCGTGATGCAGTGGTCTCATGAAATAAGGAAACGTATTCGTGCCAGGAGCACACGCGGATTTCGGACGAATAAATTTTGCTTGTATAATAATACTTTGTTTCATAATAAACAATTTGTCAAGTGTAATTTATTTACTGGTAATAGTGCATGTTTCAGTCGGGCAAATCTTGGTTAATATTTGATACGCCGTTTTTTTGCATATTTCAGACACATCCAGGAATATGCTCCCGATTT